AATCTATTTGCAAAATATTTGTCATATAAGGTAACATTTACTGTTTCCAGGGATTAGGACATGATATATTTGGGGACTATTATTATTCCAATGTACGTCATTCAGTCTACTACCAGACCAAAACCAAACCCACTGCTATCTAGTCGATTCTGACTCATAGCAACCCTATAGGATAGATAGAACTGCCCCACAGGGTTTCCAAGGAGTGGCTGGTGGATTTGAACTGCTGACCTTTTAGTTAGAAGCCAAGCACTTAACCACTGTGCCACAAGGGCTACTGCAGGAGATTAAAATACACACACACACACACACACACACACGCATGCACACACACTCACACACATGTATATAATATTAAGTGTAAATGGCCTAAACACCCCCATTTAAAGCCCTAAGCTGCTATATGAGAAGTCTGGTTATCCTACTGTAAAGAACACGTGGAAAGGGAAAGTCCTTGAGACTCCATGGAGTGAGAGGAATCCAGTGGAGATAAGCCTTCCAACAATGCCCACCAAGGTACCAGACATGTGAGTGAGTCATCTTGGAGATGAGCCAGCCCAGCAGAGCCCCAGATGATTGTAGCTCCACCTGACAATGGGTGGAGCAGAACTGCCCAGCTAAATGCAGTTAACCCACCAAATTCTGAGAGAGAGTAAAAATGTTGTTTTCAGATACTAGGTTTGGGGGCGGTTTGTTATACAACTAAGCAGAAGCTTGTACATAGACGTAGGCTGCTGCCATAACAAAAATCTAAAACATGTGGCATTGGTTTGGGGGCTGTGTGGCAGGCGAAAGCTGTAAGAGCATCAAGGACACTGTTAGTGAACGCTGGAAGGACAGGAAGAAAATTTTTATTGGAAGTTGGAAAAACGAAAACCAATGTTACGTAGTGGCAAAAAGTTTGGCAACACTACTGCCTGTGTTAACATGGAAAATAGAAAGTATATCTAATGAACCTGAGTATTAGACTAAGGAAATTTTCAGGTAGAATGATGAAAGCACCAAATGGCTTCTTGGAGCTGTGTATTATAAAATACAAATAGAGAGGTAACCTAAAGAAGGAACTGCTCAGATTTTAAGCAGAATCTACTGGAAATATTTCTGAGTCAGTATTTGCTGGAATTGGAAAATATAACTTTTTCATCCTCACCTCTGCCAATCAAGGACTCTAAAGAAAGAAACGACCTCAGGACAAAGATAAAATCTAGGACATTACCAAAAAAATGTGGACTCAGGGTTAAAACCACAAGTATGTGGCTATAAGATCTGTTGTTAAGACCTCAAAAAAGATTCAAGGTGGTACCTCATAGACCCACTAAAAGGCTTCTGAAAATCTTAGGGTGACCTCTTAGATCCTCTCTACTAGACAGGAGAGCTTCTAAGATTCTTAAGAATATTATCCCACAGCACCCTAACTCTCTTGCCAAGGTATACTGGAGTCTATCTTAAAGATATTTAGGAAAACCAAAGATACAAGCAAAATATTAATCCAAAGGACTAATGGACCACATGAACCAAAGCCTCTACCAGCCTGAGCCCAGAAGAACTAGATGGTGCCTGGCTACCACGACCAACTGACAGGGATCACAACAGAGAATCCCAGACAGAGTGGGAGAAAAATGTAGAACAGAATTCAAATTCCCCAAAAAGACCAGACTTACTGGTAGGAGAATGCCTGGAAGAACCCCGGAGATTATGGCCCCTGGACACCCTGCTAACTCAGAATTGAAGCCACTCCTGAAGTCCACCTTTCACCCAAAGATTAGACAGGAGTATAAAGCAAACAATAACATTCATGAGGAATGTGCTTCTTAGTTTAACCAAGTATATGAGACTAAATGGGCAACACCTGCCCAAAAGCAAAGATGAGAAGGCAGGAAGGGACAGGAAAACTGGATGAATGGACACTGAGAACCCAGGGTGGAAAGGGAAAGGGGGAGAGTGCTGACATATTGCAGGGATTGCAACTAATGTCACAAAACAATTTATGTATAAACTTTTTGAATGAAAAACTAATTTGTTCTGTAAACTTTCACCTAAAACACAATAAAATTTTTTTTAAAAAGATATTTAGGGGGATAACATTTGTTTAACTGAGGAGATCATAGTTTGATACATGGGAAGCTCACAAAATCTTTAAGAGAATCACAGCATCTTACACTGAAAGAACAGGAGAAGTTTAAGATGAAATAAGGTCTTTGAAGCCCCAACTTCCTACAGACAGGATGTAGACTCCAAAGTTACTCAGCTACAAATATAATCCCTTTGTTATAAAAAAGAGGGATTATTCAGATGATAAACCCAAGGACCAAGGGAAGAGTCAAGAGCTTCAGAATTACTATACTCCACTTACTGCCTCATGCCTCACATTTTTCCTCATGCTTATGAATAAATGCCTATTCCAGTTTTCCTGTTCTTGACTCACCATTGTATATAGGGGACAGATAACTTGTTTCTACAATTCACAGCTTTTAAGATTGAAAGGAGCCACACTTGAAGAACCTCATCCACCTGGACCTGATTTAGATGATGAAATCCTGTACTTCAAGCCTGAGTCTGATACAATAATAGCTTGACACCTTGAGGATCTTGGAAAGGGAGTGAGGATATTTTTCAGTGGGAGGGACAAGAATTAATTACTTGGGGCTGAAAACCAAAAAACCTGTTGCCGGTGAGTCGATTACGACTCACAGCAACCCTATAGAACAGAGACGAACTGCCCCATAGGGTTTCTAAGGAGCAGCTGGTAGATTCAAACTGCCAACCTTTTGATTAGCAGCTGAACTCTTAATCACTGTGCCACTTGTGGCTAGTGGTAGTTAATCTATGATAGTTAATCCCCAAATACGACCTCCAATAAACAACACCTCCCAAGATTCATGCCCTTCATCATACCCCTCCCTTAATGAATCAGGGCTGAGCCCATGACTTGCTTTAACTAACAGAATGCTGTGGAAGTGAGCCCAAGCCTAAGAGGGACTGAAACTTCTGTTTTCATACTTTTGGGAGCCCTGAGTGTCCACGTAAGAAGTTCAGCTTCCCTGTTAGAGAAATCATTTAAAGAGACTACATGAGGCTTCGTGGATAGGGAGAGAGAGAATTACTAAGACTACATGAACAGAGGGAAAGAGAGAAACAGACACATCAGTCCAGATGTCCATGTATCCCAGCTGAACCCAGCCTTGTATCTGTTCCCACCAAGTCATTAGACATATAAGTGAGCTATCTTGAATACTCCAGCCCAGTGGAGCTCATAGGTGACTATGGTCCCAGCCAACATTAAGTGGAGCAGAAGAGCTGCCCACCTAACCACAGTCAATCTCACAGAATCTTGAGATTCTTGGGTGGTTTGTTACACAGCAATAAATAACTCACTTATCAAATGAAAACCAAGTATTTTGGAAGTCACACTAAATATAGAAATGAAAAGACGAACGACAAAACTATGGAAAAGTACATGCCATGAATATACAAGTGGTTAATAGCCTTGAAATAAAAAGAGCTCATTATAAAACCAGAACAAGATCACCAAGTCCTCAAAAGAAAAAAAGGGGGAAAGGACATGGTCTGCCTATTCACAGCAGAGAAAATCAAAATGGCTAATAATCATGGAAGACTTTTAACCATTATTTTTAAAAAGTATTAATACTGAAATACCATTAGTGAGAACGTAAAGTGGTACAATTTTCTGGAGAGCAATTTGACAACATGCCATTTCTATGAATATATGAAGAGATAATCACACATCCAAATAAATAGTTAAGTAAAAAGATGTTAATTTTAAACATAATGTCCAACAATATGGAAAATATTTTAAAGAACTGTGGACTGTCCATATCTGAGGATAGTCTTTACCCTGAAAATTTTTAATTCAGGTAACATGCTTTTAATATACTGTTAAGTTTTTTAAAAAAGCATAATATAAAATTATACACAGTTTAAACTAAGTTTTCAAAAATAAAATATATATGCATAACAATGACTGAACGGAAATAAAAATGTTAACTATGGTAGAAGAACTTTCTTTTTTATGCTTCTCTCCATTTCTAAATTTTCTGTAGTAACTGCGTATCACTTTCACATTCAGTAAGTCACTCTTTTTGAGTTACATTGGCCAACCTACTGACTTAGGTAATTAAGAATAATTTCCCAACTAGATATATTTAACAAAGTTATATAGTTTTTCTTATTTGAAGAGAACTTAGAAATGCTCTAGTCTAATCTACCATTCACAAGATAAGGAAATATGTCTAGAGATTTAGATGTCCAAGCTTGTCAAAATATTTAGAGGCAGAGACTTACTTAGAACTCAGATTCTTTACCCTCTGACCTGTACACGTTTTCACACTGCTTTATGAGCTACCTATAATACTGATTCAAATAAGATTTAAAGATCTAAATGAAATAATTGGCATTTTGAGAAAGACTTTACTCTGGTGTATCTTAAATTTGCATTCATATTATACTCATTTTTAACTATAAAATTATTTGTAACAGGAAGAACATATGCTATTTCCTATAATACAACACTTTTACTAAAACTTTCCACTGAAATAATTTCCCAGGCTTTTAAATTTTCTTTAAATTTACATTTAGTTATTGTTGTTACACTTTCAGCTGAATTTTGTGCAAAACTGTGAGACTTATACTTGATCAGTATAAGCAGGGAAATGTTTAATATATTTAAACACACTTCCACTTGGAGACATTTGAATGCATTTTTAATTTATTGGTATTTAATTTATTTTCAAAAACTAATTATTTTGTTTTTCCTAGTCTTATAACTCTAATGTGAGGGAAGATACCTTTAGTTCAAAGTCTTCTTTCGGATCTTGCCTTTGAAAGCTGCCATTTCATTTTGAATCTGGGGAAACTAAGCTTGTGCTCTCCCCTCTAGCTAAGCCTACAGTGTCGCTTTGCCACCTAATTTCTGTTGAAGAGGAATCTAAGTTTCTGCTCCTTATTCCATCTGGATTTAGATAGATACTTCTCAACTTTACCTCTGGTGGAGATGAACCGGTTTTACTAGGGCTTGGATATCTATTTTTCAATTTTACTTCTGGTGGGGAAAGTTGGTGTTCATCTGAACGTGGTATTTTTTTCTCTTCTATTGCTGGAATTGTGGATAATGGAGGGTCTGTGGATGGCAGGTGTGTTTGATTTTCTGATTCATCACTTTTAGCAGGAATGACATTTAAATCATCTTTGTGCGATAGCTTCAAATTTGGCAGAGTCAGGGTTGGCAGAGTCTTATTATGCAGTAGCTAGAAAATATTTCAATAAAAAAGGCTACCAATTAATCACTATTGACTAGAGAATACTTAAAATTAACAAAGCTGGACTTAAAATCAATTGTACCCTTATCATAATAAATTACTGTCACTATTTGTAAATTATTATATTCCTTATTAGATATGAGTTGAGAGATTTATAAGTCTGTGTTCATCTGTTCTGTACTTGCCTGAAATCATGGACCATGAAATATTGTCCATAAAGATGATCATACTTTTTTATAAAGCAGCGGTTCTCATATGTCCAGATTTTATAAATCAGTAATACCTCAAAAAAGAAAATCTGAAGCATCTGACATGTTACTGTCATTTTACTATCACCAAAGTATTATAAAATAAAGGAAAATTTAATAGCAAAACAGCATGAAGAACAATATCATAAAATCACTAATGTATCATAAAATAAATTTTAATAGCAAATAGCACAAAGAGTGGAATCATAAATTATCTTTATAAAAAACTCTCTATATTGTCTTTCCTTTTTCTCTATTGATTTCTATTATACGATTATTATTACTTCATGGTAAAAGTTTACAATGTGTTAAATTAAAAGCTTTTGGTGAAAAACAGTAAAGAATGTGGTTCAGTATGTGGCATCCATTTCTAAGATCTCATACAGAACCTCATGCATTTTTCTTACTTGTTCCCTCTCTTCCTCAACATCTTTTGTCCCTTATCTTCATACAGATTTTTAAATTTCACTATTATAAAGTGAAGCCTCCTTTTCAAAAGTATAATTTAATGTAAATTAACTGTATAACTGTACAGATACTGCCATAACAGAAATAACCCCAAAACACTTGAATAACTTCTTGGTTTCTTTACCCTTTCCATCTATAAATATTTCTCAATCTATAAATGTTTTATTCCTTTTTAAGACAGTGACTTTTAGGAAAAGTTACCTTACCTTCTTTGGAATAGTTTCAACTGCCTCGTTTATAAGAGGGACATCTGTTTGAAAAAATTAATAAAAGTATTTTATTTTACATAAAACAATAAACACATCATTTATATGTATGTATACTGTATGTATGTATTATAATTTTTCTTACCAAGAACAAAGAGCTCTTTAAATCAAAGCAGCTATCCAAAAATAAAACTATTTAGTAAAAACAGGCTGATGAGTCTGAGAAGATTGGGGCAGTGGTAAATGAACACGTATGGAGGTAAAACATGCAGAAAGTGATAAGATTTCAGATCCATCAATATAAGATATAAAAACAAATATAGACTATATTTTGCTAAAAGTCAAGAGGAAAGAAAATAAATCCCAGATGGTCAACGGTAGGCTTGGCATTAGGAAAAAAGCCTAGACTAAAAGTATATGAAGCCAGAAAAAATAAGGCCAATTCAAAAGAGGCTGATTGAAACACTTGTAAAATTTTCTAGGAATATAAAGAATACATGTTTAGCAAGCAAAGAAAAGAAAAACCTATAGGGGAGAGAAAGAGAGAATAAAGAATTGAGACAAAAAATCTAGACAGTAAGTTTAGTAAAAAATACATTTTACTACGGTCGCTTATTAGTCACATGATTTGGGGCAGCTCATTTTTCTGAGCCTTGGTTTCCTAATATGTAAAATGGGATAATAGTTTATCTTATAAGCCTGATATAAGTATATATAAAATGTGAGAGGCAATATGGTTAAATGCATGAGCTCTTGGGTCAAACCGACTGAGTTTAAATTGCACCCCTATCACTGACTTAGGAGCCCTGGTGGTGCAGTGGTTAAGAACTGGGCAGCTAACCAAAAGGTCAACAGTTCAAATCTACCAGATGCTCCTTAGAAACCCTATGGAGCAGTTCTACCGTGTCCTATACGGCTCTATGAGTTAGAATTGACTCGACGGCAATGTTTTTTTTTTTTAATGACTGACTTAGTAGCTATGCAACCTCTGATTGATTACTTAATCTGCTTCCTCCTCTGTAAAGAGCCCTGGTGGCACAGTAGCTAAGTGCTCAACTGCTAACCAAAAGGTCAGTGGTTCAAACCCATCAGCCACTCTGTGGGAGAAAAGACCTGGTAATCCGCTCCTGTAAAGATTACAGCCTAAAAACCCTATGGGGCAGTTCTACTCTGTCCTTTAGGGTTGCTATGAGTCAGAATTGACTCAATGGCAATGGGTTGTTGGTTCCTCCTCTGTAAAAATGAGAATAATACATCCCTCAGTGGATTGTTGTGAGGATTGACTTATAAAATTCAAGTAAAATGCCTCGATTACAGTGAACAATGAATGTTAGCTATAACATTGTAGGAAGCTATAGAAATATATATATATATGTATATATATATATATGTATATATATATATGTATATATATATACGTATATATATATATACGTATATATATATATATATACGTATATATATATATACGTATATATATATATATATAGGGGGCTATTGTTGTTGTGTACTGTAGAGTCAATTCTGACTCATAGTGACCCTATTGGACAGAGCAGACCTGCCCCCTAGGGTTTCCTAGGCTGTAATCTTTAGGGAAGCAGACTGCCACATCTTTCTCTTGCTAAGTGGCTTGGTTAGCAGCCAAACCCATAACCAGGGCTCCTTATAGGAAGCTATAGGAATACCAAAAGGAAAAAAGTCACTAGATGATACACTGGGACTCAAAACAAGCTCTTTAGGTAAGTGCAAAAAAGTAAAGGGGCAGGGTTGTGAGGTCGGGGCGGGGGGGAACGCAATAGCTACTGCTAGGCTGGTTGATTCCCAGATGTTAGGATACGAATATACCAAAGTCTGAGATAGCCAGGAAAGTATAAGTAGAGAGGAAGGTTAATCATCCCAAGGAAAAGTCTTAACAAATCATTATTCCACGTCTGAAGAACCCAAGATTTTAAAGATATAGTATTATGCATCTACTTTAACTTGCTTTCTAAATGAAGCTCTTAATAGAGAAATTTTCAACAAGACTGTATAAACAGTATTTTCCATTTATTAAATTTCTTACTGATACTTTGTAGTAAGTTCTTGAATTGAGTTTTCTTTAATTTAGTTCTCTTCTTCCTCACATGCACACACACACACACACACACACACCTCTACATCAAAGCAGTAGACAGTTCACAATCTGTAGCAAAAATATCTTTTCATAGATAAGATTTAACTTTTTTCTTGTTCTTAAAAAAGTAAAAAAAAAAAAAAGCATTAAAAAAACCCTCTTATCTTGGTCTAAGTCTTCTCTTTGGAAATGTTACAAATATAAATACTATATACCAAAACTATAATGAAGTGCATATTTATTTCCTAACAAAATAAAATCCACTTAAAGCAAATCACTAATTTTCTTCTTGTGATATAACTACCTTGGTTTCAATTATCTTACTAATAAATAACAAAAAAATTAATCAATAAAATTAGTCTCTTAACCTGATGTTTCAGTCTTCTCTTCCAATAGATCAGTACTCGAACTTCCAAGTACATCACTGGTATTACTTCTCTAGAAGCAAAACAAAGAAAAATATATTGGGGAAAGGTTTAAAGAGATAAACAGTTTTCCTTTACCTTCATAGTTTCTCTTAATACTTTTTTTTGTTTGTTTGTTTAATTTACGAAGGAGAAAAAGAAGATGGGTTTGTGAGAAAAGAAATCCAAAAAGCACTACTGTAAAGAGAGGTGTCTTAGGCTGGGTTCTCTAGAGGAGCAAAACCAGTGAGGTGTGTGTATATATATAAACACATGTATCGAGAGAGATTTATTTCAAGGAAATGGCTCACACAGTTGTGGAGGCTGGCAAGCCCCAAATCTGTTGGTCAGGCATCAGGCTGGAGGCTTCTCCTGACCCATTCGTCAGCAGGGGCTGACGAATCCAAAATCGGCAGGTCAGACAGCAGGCTGTTGGCTCACGGGGCTACAGGAGCTAGTGAATCCCAAAATCTGCAGGTCAGATGGCAGGCTGCTGGCTCATGTTCCAAGAACTGGAGGTCAGAGGATGATGACTCGAATGCAGGGTCAAGAGGGGGTGAGCTTTGCCAGAACTTCCATATATATTGGATGCAGGCCATACTCCCAAGGAAACTCCCCTTTCAACTGATTGGCTGCTTATCTCAGGTCACAAAATGAAGGATGATTACATAACATCTGCCACACCACTGAGAATCATGGCACAGTAGCCATGTTGACAGGTAACCTAAACCATCACAAGAGGTATACCCTGGCTGGGAGTTGATGTTTCAGGCAGAGGCTATCCAAGAATGGATAGAGATTTTGAATGATTAATGTATGCAAGGTAAAGATTACAAGACACCCATTGCCATCAATTTGATTCCAACTCATAGTGACCTTATGGGACAGAGTAGAACTGCCCCATAGGGTTTCCAAGGCTGTAAATCTTGGAATCACCACATCTTTCTCCCGCAGGGTGGCTGTTGGGTTTGAACTGCCGACCTTTCAGTTAACTGCCAGGGCTCTTTAGATTACAAGATAAATTATATAATTATGTAACTTCAAGTAGTATCAGAGGATACCCTCAGGAAACAGATTACCTTTGAAAAATTTTATTTGGTAAAATATATATAACAAAACATTTGTCATTTCAACCATTTTTACATGTACAACTCAGTGACATTAATTACATTCACCATGTTATGTAACTATCACCACTATCTGTTTCAAATTTTTCCCCATCTAAACAGAAACTCAGTGCCCCTTAAGCAATAACTCCCCATTCCCCCCTCCCCACCGCCCCTCATAACCACTAATAAACTTTGGTCTCTATGCGTTTGCCTATTCTAGATATTTCAAATATTTCGTTTCAGATCATACAATATTTGTCTTTTGTGTAAGACTTATTTGACTCAGCATAAAGTTTTCAAAGTTCATCCATGTTGTAGCTTATATCAAAACTTCATTTCTCCTCATGGCTGAATAATATTCCATTTTTTATATATGCTACATTTTATTTAGCCGTTTATCTGTTGTTGGACGTTTGGTTGTTTCCACTTTTTGGTTATTGTGAATAATAATGAACATTGGTAAACAATTATCTGTTTGAATCCTTGCTTACAAGTCTTTTGAGTATATACCTAGGAGTGAAATTACTGGGTCATAAGGTAATTCTGAAGCTCTGGTGGCACAGTGGTTAAGCACTCAGCTGCTAACCAATAGGTCGGCAGTTCAAACCACCAGCTGCTCCACGGGAGAAAGATGTGGCAGTCTGCTTCTGTGAAGATTACAGCCTTGGAAACCCTATGAGGGCAGTTATACTCTTTTCTATAAGGTCACTATGAGTCGGAATTTACTCAGCGGCAATGGGTTTGGTTTTTTGGGTTTAGGGTAATTCTGTTTAACTTTTTGAGGAAACATCAAACTGTTTTCACAGCGGCTGAGCAATATTATAATCCCATCAGTAATGGGTGAGGTTTCCAATATCTCCACATCCTCACCAATACTTGTTATTTTCCATTTTTCTGAGAATAGCCATCCTAATGGGGATGAAGTGGTATCTTAATGTGGTTTTGATTTTCATTTCTCTAATGACTAATTATGTTGAGCATCTTTTCAGGTGCTTATTGGCCATACATATATCCTCTTTGATAAAATGTCTGTTCAAGTCCTTTGCCCATTTTTTGATTGGGTTGTTTATCTTTTTGTTGTTGAGTTGTAGAAATTATATATTCTGGATATTAAACCCTTATCAGGTGTATGGTTCTCAATTTCTCTCATTCTGTAGGTTATCTCTTCACTTTGTTGATAAAGTCCTTTGATGCACAAAGGTTTTTAATTTTGATGAAGTCCAATTTATTTATTTTTGTCTTTGGTTGCTTGTGCTTTTGGTGTCAAACTAAGACTCCATTGTTAAAAACTGGGTTTAAAAGCGCTACCCCCTTTATTTTTTTCTATGAGTTTTATGGATTTAGTTCTTCCATTTAGATCATTGACCCATTTTGAGTTAGTTTTTGAATATGGTGTGAGGTATGGGTCCGGCTTCATTCTTTTGCATATGATGATTCAGTCCAAGCATCATTTATTTAAGAGACTATTGTCTTCCCCATTGAATGGACTTGGCCCCCTTCTTGAAAATCAGTTGAGCAAAGGTGTATGTGTTTATTTCTGGACTCTCAATTCTATTCCATCGGTCTAAATGTCTATCCTTATGCTATTACCAGACTGTTTTAATTACTGAGGCTTTATAGTATTTTGAAATCAGGAAGGGTGAGTTCTCCTATGAGTTGCAGTGTGAGAACCGTGCATCTTTACAAAATTCCCAGGAGAATTATAGAGTGATTGTGGAGCTCTTATAAAATACTGACTTTTCAATTAGAACCTAAAGTCCATAGTGTTTTTAATGAAGAGCCCTTGAAATTTCCCCTAAAATACTAATTCTCTATTAGTAAATACTAATCAAGTTATTCTGTAGCAGCACAATGCTGCCCAATTATCACAGAGGCATTGAAAAGCATGAAAATATCAATATGCTACAACTCTACCATTTCAGGGCTGTGATTTGTCAATGTTTTATCTATCCACTAAGAGCACTATGAATCCTTTATTTTGAGGTCAAAATATATAAGTTAGATTGTATTTATAAATATTAACCCCTGCTTATAATACTAGATGAGAGTCTAGTATCCAGTATATATAATGAACTCTTACAATTGAACAATAAAAAGACAAATAACCCAAATAAAATGTGGGCACAGAATTTCAATAACTATTGCTCCAAAGAAGATATACAACGGCCAGTGAACACATGAAAAGATGACCAATATCATTAGTCATTGCTGTTTTGTGCCATCAGTAGGGAAATGCAAATCAAAACCACAATGAGATACCACTTTACATCTACTAGGATTGCAAGCAAACAAAAGACCCAATACGGCAAGTGTTGGCAAACATGGAGAAATTAGAACCCTCATACACTACTAGTGGGAATGTGAAATAGTATAGCCACTGTGGAAAACAGTTTGGCAGTTCCTCAAAAAGTTAAACATAGAGCTTCCATATGATCCATCAATTCTACTCTTAGGTACATACTCAAGAGTATTGAAAACATATGTTCACATAAAAAAAACTCACACACAAATGTACATAGAAACATTATTCACAAATAGCCAAAAAGGAGAAACAACCCAAATGTGCATCAACTGATGAATACATAAATGAAATGTGCTATAGCCATACAGTGACATATTATTCGGCAATAAAAAGGAGTGAAATGTTGATACATGCTACAACATGAAAGAACATCAAGAACATGCTAAGTGAAATATGTCAGACACCAAAGATGTTATATTGCTTGACTCCATTTACATGAAATGTTCAGAACAGGCAAATCTATAGAGACAGAAAGTAGATTAGTTGCTGCCAAGGGCTAGTGGAAAATAGGGGAGTTGGGAGTGCCGGCTAATGGGTGTGAGGTTTCTTTTTTGGGGTAATGAAAATGTTCTAAAATTAATTGTGGTGATGGATGCACAACTCTGTGAATACAGTAAAGGCCATTAAATTGTACACTTAAAATGAATAAATTGTGTGGTATGTGAATTAAATTTCAGTAAAACTGTTAAAAATTAAACCTTGTAAACTACCGATCAGTATTTATTAAATGCCACATTTTTAAAATAGGATGGTGTGTGAACAATGGATATTATTTTATAGAGACAGAACAAATAAGAAACATCTGGCCATCACTTTTATATATGATAATCTCTCTTTTAATAAAAAGTATTAAAAGTTATATATGAGAGAATGTATTAGGTTAATTACCTCTGTGTCTTTATGTTCCAATGCTGGAGTAAGAATTCTTTCTAAATAGCTAGCTTTTTCTACCCATGTGCTCAAACTTCTGTATTCTTTTTTCATTTTTTCCAACCTGAAGAAAGAAAAAAAAGCCTATAGATAAAAAAAGCAAATGACAGAAGAATATATATGACTTACAGAAGAATATACACAGTATGATTGAACTTATAAACATTTCAAAAAGAAGCAAACCAGTAATATATTGTTTAGAGATACAGTCAAAGAAACAGGAATTATTACAACAAAAACAGGGCAGTAGTTACCTGGGGAGGGTAGGAGAGAGGGATATAATCTGGTAAGGACAGACACACAAAATATTTCTGATATTGTTGACCCTGTATTACTTAACCTGAATCATAAACATCTAGACAATGACCTTATTTTCCTTATGTAAACTATATTTACATGTTTCAGAAGTTATTCAATATATATTGGTCTTATTTAAACTATATACACATGTTTTATAAATTATTCCATACATATATATCTTTCATAATAAAACAAATTTTAAAAAGGATTTTAGCTCCTAATCCAAGAAACTTCAAAAGGCTTGACTTATTTAAAGATGTAATTGACAAGAATTGAATGGAAATCAAACATTTTAAATGAATTTGCCAGGAATAAGGTACATAACAGAAGAAATTCTGTTTTTCTATTACATACTACAGAATCTTCTGATTGGAGGGTATTTTGACTATTTTCAGGATATCCATCCATTAATAAATTGATTCCATTAATTCATTTATTATTTGAAAACAAATAAGTAAATAATAAATATTAAGCCATATAAAAGAAAGATATACCAGGTAGTGTAACCAAAAGAAAGTTGTGGTAACTATATTAATGTCAGAAATATAGACTGTAAAACAAAAGCCTTATAAGGGTAAGAAGGCTCACTACATAATTATAAAAGGTTCAATTCACAAGAGATACATAATTCTAAACTCATATGCTTCTAATAAAATAGCTTACATGCATTACAGATTGGAACACTTCTCCTTCAAAAAGCGATAAAACAAGCAGACAGAAAACTGAACACCACAATAAAGTTGTCCTAATTGAGATATATGAATCAATGCATCCAACAATACACATTCTTTTTCAGTGAAAAAAAGGAAGACTCTCCATGAGAAGGATTGACACAGTGGCTGCAACAATAGGCTCAAAGTAGCAACGATTGTCAGGATGGCACAGGATGGTGTTCATTCTGTGGCACATAGGATTCTTATGAGTTGGAACCTACTCAACAGGACCTAACAACAACAAAGTGCACATGCAACATTTACAAAGATAGGATGGACTATAAAAGGGTCTTAACAAATTTCAAAAAACTGAAATTAGATGCCACCACTCACTCACACAAATGGCAAAAGAAGCCAAATAAAAAAAAAAAAACCCCAAATTTAAGAATACCAAGTAGAGTAAGAGAGTGGAGCAAATAGAACTCTCATACAGTGCTGATAGAAATTATGTAAATGGATACAAGCACTTTGGAGAACTGTTTGGCAGTATCTACCAAAGCTGAAATACATTTTGCACTCTAGATAATGTTGTTGCTGTTGTATGCCATCAAGTCAATTCTGATCGGAAATGTGAAAATTCACCAAAAGGACATGTACAAGAATGTTCATAGAGACTTTGTTCTTAACAGCTCAGAACTGAAGATAACTTAATTTCCATCAATAGTAGAATGGATAAATATGATATATGCATACAGTGGAATACCCTATAACAATGAAAAATAACTAACTACTACTACTACAGTGTGGATAACTTTCACTGACATAATGTTGAGCGAAAGTATTTAGACGCAAAAGACTACATATAACTGATTAATCCCATCTATAGAAAGTTTTTTTTTTTTTTAAAGATAAAATTAATACATGGTGATGAAAGTCAGAACAGTAGTTACCTTTATGGGGCATTAATTGGGAGAATGTATAAGGGAATATGCTGTGATGCTATATTTTGATATGTGTGGTGGTTACACAAATGTGCTAATTAGTAAAAATGAATCAAGCTGTATGTGATTTATGTATTTTATTGTATGTTATATTCCAATAAGAAAACTTACTAAAGAAACTGACAAAATTACAAGAAGAAATTGAGAAACCTACCATTAGAGTGGAGTAATTCAGCACGCCACTTTTAATCATTGATATTAGGTAACAGAAATAAGAAAATCAGTAAAGATATGTTGTTGGTGTTAGGTGCCTGTCTTAGTCATCCAGTGCTGCTATAACAGAAATACAACAAGTGGATGGCTTTAAAAAAGAGGAGTTTATTCTCTCACAGTCTAGTAGGCTATAAGTCCAAATTCAGGGCATCAGCTCTAGGGGAAGGCTTTCTCTGTTGCCTCTAGAACAAGGTACGTGTCATCAATCTTCCCTTGGTCTAGGAGCTTCTCTGCACAGGAACCTAAGGTCCAAAGGATGCACTTTGCTCCCGGCACTCCTTTCTTGGTGGTATGAGGTTCCCATGTCTCTCTGCTCACTTCTCTCTTTTATATCTCAAAAGAGACTGGCTTAAGACACTATCTAATCTTGTAGATCTCATCAATATAACTGCCACTAATCCATCTCATTACATCATAGTGATAGAATATACAACACATAGGGAAATCACATCAGATAACAAAATAGTAGACAGTCATACAATACTGGGAATCATAACCTAGCCAAGTTGACAGACATTTTTTGGGGACACAATTCAATCCATGACAGTGCTGTTGAGTCAGTTCCAACTCATAGTGACCCTATGTACAACAGAACAAAACACTGTCTGATTCTGTGCCATCACCGTGATCATTGCTATGCTTGAGCCCACTTTTGCAGGCACTGTGTCAATCCATCTCATTGAGGGTCTTCCTCTTTTTGACTGACTCCCTACTTTATCAAGCATGATGTCCTTCTCTAGGGACTAGTCCCTCCTGATAACATGTCCAAAGTATGTGAGACGAAAAATATGCAAGACAAAGTCTCCCCATCTTTGCTTTTAAAGAGTATTCTGGCTGTACTTCTTCCAAGACAGATTTGTTTATTCTTTTGGCAGTTCATGGTATATTCAGTATTCTTCACTAACACCACAACTCAAGGCATCAATTCTTCTTCGGTCTTCTTTATTCATTGTCCAGCTTTTGCATGCATATGAGGCGATTGAAAACACCATGGCTTGGGTCAGGCACACCTTAGTCTTCAAGGTGACATCTTTGCTTTTCAACACTTTAAAGAGGCCTTTTGCAGCAGATTTTCCCAATGCAATGTGTCTTTTGATTTCTTGACTGCTGCTTCCATGGATGTTGATTACGGATCCAAGTAAAATGAAATCCTTGACAACCTCAGTCTTTTCTCCATTTATCATGATGTTTCTTATTGGTCCAGTTGTGAGGATTTTTGTTTTCTTTATGTTGAGGTGTAATCCATACTGAAGGCTGTAGTCTTTGATCTTCATCATTAAGTGCTTCAAGTCCTGTTCACTTTCAGCAAGCAAAGTTGTGTCATCTGCATAACACAGGTTGTTAATGAGTCAATCCTGATGCCCCGTTCTTCTTCATATAGTCCAGCTTTTCGAAATATTTGCTCCCCCATGCATCTGTCATTTTGTTGTACTGTGGGGGCTTGCATGTTGCTGTGATGCTAGAAGCTATGCCATCGGTATTCAAGTACCAGCAGGGTCACCCATGAAGGACAGGTTTCAGCTGAGCTTCCAGACTAAAGCAGACTAGAAAGAAGGGCCTGGCAATCTACTTCTGAAAAAAATTAGCCAGTGAAAACCTTATGAATAGTGAAGCTATAGAAGACTTGAATTCAATTAATATAATTGATATAATGAACATGTATAGAACTCTCAGCCAACAGTTAGTATACACTTTCATCTCAAGTACACATGGGACATTTATGACAAGGATCCTTTTCTAGGCTATCAAGCAATTCTCAACAAATTTCAAAGAATCTGTAATATACAGATCATGTACTTAGATCACAGTTAAATTACTTTAGAAGTCAAATAAAATGATAAATTAGAGAATCCTTATATATTTGTGAATTAAAAGCACACTTTTAAATAATTCATGGTCAAAGTTAAATATAATAGAAAATATAAAATTTTGGAACAAAACAATATAAAAATTTAGTGTGGTGCAGTGAAAATAGAATTAAAAAATCTATAATTTTAAATACTTATATTAAAAAAGGAAAGATGCTAAAAATTAATAACCAAAGCATCCAACTTGAGAAGAAAAAGAATAAACCTAAAGAAAGTAAAGGAAAGGAGATAATAAAGAAAAAACAAAAATCAATGCAATGGAAAAGATATAGTACAGAGGATTAAAACAGCCAATTGTTTTAAAACTCTAACAAAATTGATAAACTTTTAGCAAGACTTATCAAGAAAAAGAGAAGACGTATATCTAATATTAGGGGGAAAACTGACATAAATACAGATAAAGCAGAGATAACAGATAATATTAGGGATGGCTTTGCACAAATAAATTTTAAAACTTAGACAACATGAACAAATTTCTAGAAAAATACAACTTACCTAAGTGCCTCAAAAAGAAATAGAAAGCCTGAATAATTTAAAGACATCAAATCACTGGTTAAATATCAGTAGTTACAAATCTTCCCACAGATAAAACCTTAGGCCCACATGACTTTACAGGTGAGTTCTAGCAAACATTCAAACTTGCGTAAACTCTTTCCAGTCTTAGGAAAAGAGGGAATGTTTCCCAATTCATTCCATAAAGCCACTATGGGCTTGATAATAAAATTTGACAAGAAAATTGTTAAAAAAGGAAAATTATAGACTAAACTCAAACGTGAACATAGATGCAAGCAAAAATGATACAAGATATGAAAGGAAAATATATTAAAACTCTGAAATGAGCTGAAAGAAAAAAAAATAGAAAATAAAAGGTAAAATACTTTCAGACTGAAGACTAAACCAAAAGAAACATAGGTGAAAGAACACAACAAATAATGCCTTAAGAGAAATAAAAAGTGAAAAAGATAAAATTTAATGAACAGATATTAGTGATTTGAGAGAAAGTGACCGATATTGGAGACAGGCAAAGAAGATCCCACATGTGAATAAAAGAAGTCCCTGAATAAGAAATTCAAAGCAAGGAAACAGAACAACTTTAAAGAAACTTTCCTCAAATTAAAAAAAAACAAAAAGAAACTACATATCAAAAGATTACACTATGTTCCTGAGAAGATCTCTCAAAATGATTAGTATGCAATCAACAAAATCCAGACTGTGAGAAACTCTAATAGCCCAGGCTCTTCAACAGATAAATTCTAAAGAAAAGATAAGTTTGGAGTAGGAACTTGTCAATTAAAAGAAACTTAAAAAAATATCAATTTCATCAGTGGGGGAGAAATAAACTAAAATATCTAACTATGCACCACTGGTGACAAATCCATAAAGAAATGCAAGGAAATAACTACTAGTTAGGATTGTGGCTACTTTTAGAAGGAAGAAGGATGTGATTGGAATGCAGCACATGGAGGGCCTCTGGAGTAGCTACCAAAGTTCCATTTCTTTACCTGCATGGTGATTATAAGCATGTTCAACTTACAGTAATTTACTAAGTCACACATTTGTTTTGTGTTGCTTTCTGAGTCTGTATTTTATTTTACAATAAAAATCTTTTTAAAAAGGTAAAAGACCTTTATGGAAAAAAAATAAAAAATTTTATTGAAAGTTATTAAAGAAGACCTTAAGAAATGGAAGGGATGGGGTGAGAGATAGGAGAGGGGGAGAAGGAGAGAATGTTCCTAGGTACAAAAATTCAATATCATAAAGATGTAAATTGAATCCAAATTGTTTCGTAAATGTGATTCCAATCAAAATTCACATGAACTTCCTTTAAGGAATTTCACAAATTGGCTCCAGAATATATATGGATGGCAAAGAGCTAAGAACAGCCATAACACCCATGAAGATGAATAAGGTAGAAGAAGTTTACCTATCAAATGTCAAGACTATAGAGATATAGTAAATAAGAGAGTGTGGTATTATTGGCACAGGGATAGACAAATTGTCCAATGCAACAGAAAACCAAAGCCAAACCCATTGCCATCAAGTCGATTCTGATGTTTTACAAGAGTAGAACTGCCCCATAGGGTTTTCTTAACTGAAATCTTTATGGAAGCAAATTGCCTGGCCTTTCTTCCGAGGTGCTATTGGGTGGGTTCAAATCATCAACATTTAGGTTAGTAGTCAAGTGCAAACCATTTACACCACCCAGGGACCTAAAGGAAGATAAGAGAGAGGCAGAAACACACAACATGCACATACGGACACTTGGTGAATAACAGAGGTGGCATTGCAGATCATTTGGGAAAGGAGAGCCTATCTAATAAATACTGCTAAGACAGTTGGTTACTGTCTTAGTTATCTAGTGCTGCTGTAACAGAAATACCACAAGTAGATGGCTTTAACAAAGAGAAATTTATTCTCTCATAGTCTAGTAGGCTAGAAGTCTGAATTCAGGGCTTTAGCTCCAGAGGAAGGATTTCTCTCTCTGTCGGGTCTGGGGGAAGGTCCTTGTTATCAATCTTCCCCTGACCTAGGAGCTTCTCAGGAGCGGGGACCCCAGATCCAAAGGACGCACTCTTCTCCCAGCCCTGCTTTCTTGGTGGTATGAGGTCCTCATGTCTGTCAGCTCACTTCTCTGGTTGAAGAGGCTGGAACATCCCAAGTCCATGGGTCAGGCTGGGGCTTGTCCTGATTCACGTAGCCACAGGGGCTGGTGAACCCAAGATTAGCAGGTCAGACAGGAGGGCTCTTGCTCACAGGCTACAAAGATGAACAAATCCTAAGACTGGTAGGAAAGATGGCAAGTAAGCTGCTAGCTGAAGTCCCAAAAACCAGAGGTCAGATGAACAGGAGCCAGCTGCAGGATCCAGAGTGAGCAAAGGCCTTTCCCTGGAGCTGACATCCTGAATTCGGAATTCTAGCCAGTAGACTGTGAGAGAATAAATTTCTCTTAGTTACAGCCATCCACTTGTGGTATTTCTGTTACAGCAGCACTAGATAACTAAGACAGAATTTGGTACCAAGAGTGGGGTGCTGCTCTAATAGATATCTAAAATGTAGAAGCGGTTTTGAAACTGTGAATTGTTAGAGTACTCGGAAGGAAATGAGGAGAGCTGTTACACAGGAGATGGCACAGATGGTGAGAAGCAGCAGAGCTAGATAACTAAGACAGTTACCCATATGGGAAAAAATGAAATTACCTCACATCATAATTTCAAATGGTTTGCCTTTAAATGTAAAAGAGAAAATGTAAGAAAATATAAAAATGTCTTTATGACTTCATGGTAGGGAGATTTTCTTAAATAAGACACAAAAAAGTGCTAATCATGAAAGACAATATTGATAAATTTATATTAAAGTTAAGAACTTCTGCTTCTCAAAAAACATTTTTAAAAGTGAAAAGAGAAGGTACACACTGAGAGAAGACATTTGCAACCCATACAACTGACCAGAATTAATATCTATCCTGAAGTGTAAAGAAAAAAGGATGAGAAAAGCACAAAAGAGACCTGTGGAATACATCATTGGGTGAAGAGGCAGAGCAAAAGAACCCTCCCACAGAGCATGCATGTACAATAAATTCAGATCATATGCATGGACAGCATTCTTTTATGTTAGGACCGCTTTTTCAGGTGCCAAGTGCTTCCACTAGTCTTGATGTTACAATGCTTCAAATGTGTGGTTTGACAGATGAGAACGTAAAGCTATATTAACACAAGTTTGTGGCAGGCACTGCTAGAGCTCACCAATCTCAATTTTTCTCTTCTTCACAGACATACAGAAAACATTTTTCAACCTCCCCTGAAGTTTATATCATCTATGTAATAATCTCTGAACCCATGAAATATCACCACAGCGAAGGTTGATGGACCAATATCAAGCCCATGTCTCAAAGAAATAAATTAACATATAAATAACACATAAATAAGATGAAAACTTTTGTGCTTTTTTACCTTTCCTGGGTAGTTGATGATGTATTGCATTGGGCAAGTCTGCTGCAAAAGACCTCTTTTAAGTGTTAAAAAGCAAAGATGTCACTTTGAAGACTACGGTGCTCCTGACCCAGGCCATGGTATTTTCAATCGCGTCCTATTCATGTGAAAGCTGGACAATGAATAAGGAAGACTGAAGAAGAATTGGTGCCTTTGAATTATGGTGTGGCGAAGAATATTAAATATACCAAGGACTGCCAGAAGAACAAACAAATCTGTCTTGGAAGAAGTACAGCCAGAATGCTCCTTAGAAGCAAGGATGGCAAGACTTCATAAAGTACTTTGGGCAAGTTATCAGGAGAGATCAGTCCCTGGAGAAGGACATCATGCTTGGTAAAGTAGAGGGCCAGTGAAAAAGAGGAAGACCCTCAACAAGATGGACTGACACAGTGCCTGCAACAATGGACTCAAACATAACGACTGTGAGGATGGCGCAGGACCGGGCAGTGTTTTGTTCTGTTGTGCACAGGATCGCTATGGGTCGGAATTGACTCGATGGCACCTAATAACACATAGCTATGTTTTCAGACATTGGAATGTTTTAAAAATTGGAAACTATTGAAAAATGATAGAATCAGATTGATCGATCATTAAAATTTCTGCTATTTAATGGGGTGGGGGTTTGACAAAGCAAAGTTGGGGTTGTTACTGGAAAAAAATAAAAGTTTCATGTATATTAATGAGTTCAAACTCCTCTAACATGTTAGAGATACATTAAGAAATGTTAGGATATGGAGGCTACAATGGGACTACTAAGAGTTAGAATTTAAGGACATTCTATCAGGTTATTTGGTACATCAAAGTGGGTATGTATCATTTATGTGAATGGTATCTTATGGGGGTTCTCAAGTGGCCACCTTAACCTCTATTCCCTTTAGAGCCAAAGTTCTTTGAATGGATGTTCCTTTCTGGAGACCTTATGTAGTCCTCTGTGTTTTCTTTTCCTTTGGTAAGGTATTGTTCTTTCTCCTATATAAATGACTTTTCATTTCTTTTCCTGCCATAAGGCTGACTTTTTAAAAACAAACACCTAAATATGATAAGCAATAATCAGGAATAATCTTTGAACCCATGAAATATCACCACAGTGAAGGTGATGGACCAATAGCAAGTCCATGTCTCAAAGGAAGAAATTAACATGTAATATAAATAACACATGAATAAGATGAAAACTTTTGTGCTTTTTTACCTTTCCCGGGGTGGTTGCTGAAGTTTTTCAAGTCGCACAACAGATGGCTGGTTGTGTTTACTTGACACTGTACTTGGCTTCCCAACAGTAACATTTAGGTCTGGGGATAAGAATGCTGGATATTCTACTGGCTGTGGTACAATAACATTTCTGAAAAATAGTAATAAGGTTAAATTTTGAAGTATACAAAAGTACACTTCTGAAATCAGTGGTGAATCCTTCTGCATTTACACTGTCAGCTCACTTGACCTTGGGCCATCAAAGGCTAGAGCTAGGAAAGAAGACAAGAGTAGAAATCTGGAGAAAAGTGCTCTCTTGATTATTCTTGCTACTAAGTTCATGGGAAGCAAAAGTGGGAAAAGAGGGAAGGATCCAGGTTCTAATGAGAAGTAGAAAGTGCTTGAAGAACTTTATCCCAACATCTCTCCCAACCTCTAGACCCAAATCTCTATCTCCTGAGTATCTCATTTTTTAAGCTATTAATTCCTTGGAATGTTCTGTGTGCCAGGGATTTTGTCCATATGGCTATGTATATTATCTCATTTAATTATGAGGTAATAATTATCATATCCTATTTTACATATGGAGCCCTGGTTGTGCAGTGGTTAAGCATTCAGCTCTTAACCATAAAGGTCAGCAGTTCGAATCTACCAGCCGCTCCTTGGAAACCCTACGGGGCAGTTCTACTCTGTCCTATAGGGCCACTGTGATTCGGAATCAACTCAATTTGGCAATGGGTTTTCTTTTTTTTAACATGTGAGAAAACTGGGGTTCAAAGAGATTAAACAACTTCTCCAAGGTCTTACAGCTGGTAAGTAGCAAAGACAACGTTTGAGCACAAGTCTGATTCTAGAGCTCATGTCCAAATAGAACTCACCATTTCCCCATTTTCTAAATATGCTCTTTCCTCAGTAGTCCCTGGTTCAGCAAATAACAAATAAACTCGATTCTGACTTATAGCAACCCTATAGGACAGAGTAGAACGGCCCCATAGGGGTTCCAAGGAGCACCTGGTGGATTTGAACTGCCAATCTTTTGGTTAGCAGCCGTAGCTCTTAACCACTGTGCCACCAGGGTTTCCAAATAACAAATAGCAGCATCAAATATATACCCAATGATCCATAATCTGAACATCTTTTTCTCCTCTCTTTCCCCTTTCTATCATCTTTCATCCCCAATTAGTCACTTCCTAATTGCAGACTATATGATTAAACATTCTAAATATTCCACAGATTAATTTGCTCCTCTGTATCCCCACTAAACCACTGCCTTACTTCAAATCGTCAATATCTCTCATCTAGAATAATGCAACAGCCTCCTCCAATCCTTGGCCTCTAATCCTAAACCCTTTTTGTCCATATTTGATCCCACTGGTAGAATCTGTATAAAATGCAAGCTGATCATAGTATTTCCCCACTTAAAATTCTTCAATGGCTCTAGACCTCCTGCAGTACCTCCAAACTTTTCCAGTGAAGAACTCCTATGGGTAGAGGACAGTGAAGGAGTGTGGGGGTGTAAACTAAAGCAGTCAGACCCAAACACCTCATTTCTTGGAAATATTTTGTTATCTTAAAATTTTATGTGTCTTTTTATTCTACTCCATAATATGTAGACATTAAGTTTAATCTAGTATTCTCCCTCTCAAAACCTTTGAGTAAAAGGAATACTTCAGAAAGATGCACCTGTTTTCCTTTGCCTTTGTGTTGTCCTGGCACACTCCTGAGGACCCAAAAGAGTAAAATCTACTCACATTTGAGAAGCATAAACCTAGAATGATGATGATAGTGATTATAAAATATTTATTACTTTTATAAATAACTAATAACTTATTAAGCATTTTACTATTTACTACCATTTTCTAAGTGCTTTACATGTAACTTTATTTAACCATCACAGTAACTCATTGAGGTAGTTGTTATTTTATCTTATTCAATAGATTAAGCATAAAGAGCATAAGTAACTTGTCAACATCCCACAGCTGGTACATGGCAAAGCCAGGGTGTAAGCCCAGGCAATCTGGCTCTAGCCCCTGAACTCTTAACCACCATATCTCATCTCACCTACTCCTCCAGCTCATCCCTCCTTGCTCCTATGCTCTTAGCCATTCACAACATAACAGTCTCTTTGTTGTGGCTCCCTGCTTTTATATATGCGCCTCCGCTGGGAATGTGTCCCCTTACCCCTCCAAAATCAGCCTGATGCATTCTGCTTGTTTTTGAAGTCTCATCTTAAACACTGTTTCTTTTGTGGAGCTTTAATTGATAGTACTTTCCTCCCCAGTTTCCCTGAGAAGCGTTAAAAGCTCCTCGGCTGTGTTCCATAGTTCTTGTGTTTACCTCTATGACGGCTCTTATGTCTTTGTATTATGATTGTTTTGGTTTTTTTAACATGTTACCTTCACGTTAAACCATGAGTTACTTGAGGACAGGGACCAAGTATCATTATCTGAGTATTTTCAATGCCTCGGGGCAGAGGGAGGGGGTATAGTAGATATTCAATAAATGCTTATTGAATCAATGGATGGATTAGGAAATAATGGTCAACACATTAAAAAAAAAACTTCCATTTAACTATTTCTTCTATTTCACTATTGCAACAAGTCACCAATATCAAATGGACAATGTTTACTTTTAATAACACCCAGTTTGTTGAGGGTATAAGGTAATAAGTACTTCAGAATATAATCTTCCATCCTATACCTAATCTCTCAATCACATTAAAAATTTCCCCATTTCTTAGTCTTTGATAACACTACAGAGTAAGTCTCTTTCTCAGGTGCTCGTTTTTCTTTAATCAGCCTTAAAACCAAACCAAACCCATTGCTGTCAAGTCGATTCCAACTCCTAGCGACTCTATGGAATAGAATAGAACTGCCCCATAGGGTTTCCAAGGAGCGGCTGGTGGATCCAAACTGCCAACCTTTTGGTTAGCAACCAAGCTCTTAACCACTGTGCCACCAGGGCTCCCATCAACCTTTACTGTTGAAATATCAAGATTGGTTGGAATACTCTATTTTAAGTTATTTTTGGTTTGTTAATGATATTTTTTTGCCATGGATGTTTTTTGCTGAAGATTTGAAAGTAACAATAGGAGTGCTGTGGCAGTAGGTGTACATTGCTATACTGCAGAGCAGAAAACTGACAACTATTAGATCTTAAGACTTTCACACCTTTTTCCCCAAAAGGAATATCTCACTGGCCAACTTTCTCCTTCAGGTTACCCATCCTTTCCCTTCTTCTGCCATGAAGTTGGCACCCTCACTTTTTGCTTTCTTATTTCCAGATCTCACCTTTCACATTGTCTCTCCAGGGCTAATTCCAGAAACTCAAAATTTCTCTCACCTTATTAAGCATAACAGAGTTCCTGGCTGCTAACCCAAAGGTTGGAGGTTCGAGTCCACCCAGAGGTACCTCAGAAGAAAGGCCTGGCAATATATTTCAGAAAAATCAGCCATTGAGAATGTTATGGAGCATAGTTCTGCTCTGACACACATGGGGTCGCCATGAGTCTAAGTTAAGTCAACAGCAACTGGTTTTTTTTATTATTATTATTGAGCAGAACAATTCACTGCTCTATTTACACTGGAGTCTTAGCCCATCCTGGTCATGTCCTGAAGCCTATCATAAGACAACCAAAATGCTCCATCAAATGTACTAAATTTTTTAATTGCCACATGATCTGATCTTGTTAATAAGACCTTTAAAACACTTACGACACAGGGTCTCTTCTTTCTGGAGGTGGTGCAATATTCATAAACATGGATGGCTCGATAATTTTCTGAAAAGGTTTTAACTAAAGAAAAAGACAAATATATTTTAATAATATTTAGATACAATTACAGTTCACCCTAATACTACTATCCCCCAGGACTATGGAATAGGCCTAAAATGATACAAATAAGGAGAAAAGAAATGAAAACAAGGAAGAACTATACAACTATTGGTCTCTACTCATCCAGAACAAAAGAGAATGAAGGAAACCAAAGACTCAAAGAAGAAACTAGTCCACAAGTCTAGCCCACATGAACCATGGCCTCTTCTAACCTGAGACGAGAAGGACCACTACTGATGGTTCTGACCAGAGACACAATAGGTGGTCAAGGATAGAATCGAGAAAAATGTAGAACAAAATTCAAATTCCTAAAAAAAAATGTCCAGACTTACTGGATCGGTAGAGACTAGAGAAACCCTTGAGACTATTGCCCTGGGATTCCTTTTAAACTTGGAACTCAAATCCTTCCCAGAGGTCACCTTTCAGGCAAATGACTAATTCAATCATAAAATAAATAATATCACCTGTGAGTACTGTACTGTACTAGACTAATGGAAACAGAACAACCAGAATGGAAATAATGAGAATGCTGATACATTGTGAAAAATGTAACCAATTTGCTGTGTAAACTTTCACCAAAAACACAATAAAATATTTTTAAAAAGAACTAACATTTATCATTTATTGAGAACTTAATATTTGCCAAGCATTTTATACCTTTAATCTTATTTAATCCTCCCAACAATCCTGTAATGTAGATCATTGTACCCATTTTACAGAAGATACTAAAAGTTAGTAATCTGTTCAAGGTTTCCAAAAGAGGCCTGAGAGCCGGGATTCGAATGAAACTCTGTCTGTCCCCAAAGCTATGCTCTTTTTACAGTATCATGATGGGCAAGTAGGGGACTATATCACTGGTGTTTAAGACCTGAAAAGTTCATATATATTAAACTTTTTAAAAATTGAACATTTATTATATATCCCTTTCTTTTTCATACTTTGTTCGGAATCAACTTGATGGCAATGGGTTTGGTTGGTTTTTTTAACTACATAAAAAGGAGCCCTGGTGGCACAATGGTTAAGCACTAGCTGCTAACTGAAAGGTCTACGGTTCAAACCTACCAGTGGCTCCCTGGGAGAAAAGACCTGGAGATCTGCTTTATAGCCTAGGAAAAAGCCTATGGGGCAATTCTACCCTGTCCTTCGCTCTAAGTCAGAATCCACTCCAAGGCACATGACAACACCACCACCTACATAAAATACTTGCCCTGTTTTATCTGAAAAGGAGTACGCCTCCCTAAGAAGGGCTATTGTTGCATGTCATAATTATATTAAGATACAAAACCCATCTCTGAAGTTAGTGTTTAAGCTAGGACTGTTATAAAAAGGACTAAATAATTAGGGGTCCTTACAAAGCCTAACTTATGATAAAAAAAGAAAATAGGAGGAAGGGAAAAGAAAGAAAAATCAAAGAGTAGAAGAAAAAAAGAAAAATAGAAGTTTGTGCCTTGTATCTCTCATTTGTATTCATTTGTATATTAGTTTCTTCTGACTCAAAATGTATTAGAAATTATTATGATATACCACAGGCAAAATATGAAAAATCATGTTACAGAGAATTCTCCATTAACATGGTGTAGACTAATAAGACCGATGGACTCCCTTCCAACTTCTAATTTAAAATCACTCAAAATGATAAAAATAACAACAACTTGAAATTTAAAAAAAGATTATATATAAAGTATAGGGATCATTTTCTATAACAGCAGTGGGGCTGGATTTTTAATGCCCCAAAGCTGTGGTGATATCCAGGGATATCAAGAGTTCTTTCAAACACTTGGTAAGAATGTATACTGGTACAACTTTTCTAGAACAATTCCTTCAAAAGGTCATTGTTTTGGACAATAATTTACCTTCTAGGAATCTAGCCTAAGGAGATAATCAAAGAAATGGACAAAGGTTAGTATACAAAAATGTTTTACTGCAACAAGGATATATGGTAATGAATTTAAAGAGGCCGGCGAAAAAGTTAGGAATATATGTTCTTTGAGTGTATTACTCTGTTAATGAATTAAGAACAGTTCAAATAGTATCAAATGTTGAAATTACTGTGGGGGGAAAGAAGCATATGTGGTCAGAGTATAAAATATTATCTGAATAACATCAGTGATTCAATCTTTAATATTTTTAGATGTAAAAATTCACATCTACTTCCTGAATACTTAAAATAATTTTGTTTTTAATTACATAAATCTGTGTGTGTATACACACATACACAAAAGCAAGTTTTATAGTAAAGACATTTTGAATACAAGATCGTTATTTTAAAATGTATAAGCAAATAATAGTAAAGTCTCATTTTTCTTTAGTCTGAAGAAAAATAGCATTCTTAAAATGTTTATCTTAAAGAGTTTATCAAACTGGAAAGGACAGAGGCTAAAAGGTGGATGGTGTGACTGAAGAGCTATAATAAAATAATTTTTATAAAGAGGTGAACTAACCTGATGTGAAAATCCAAAACCAAAGTTTCCATAGGAGAACATAAATTCTATCTGCACCCTGCAGACAAACTAAACATGTGGCAAATTTATGTTTAATCAGAATGACATTTTAATGTAGAAGTGATATTTTTATTTAACAAATTTATAAATTAGAGAAGCCAAAGCATGAATCTCCTGATAAATAAAGCATTTACACAAGGAACTCCTATAGAATATATTGAGTTTCTGGAATGTTAAAAAATTTTATGTTCAAGTATACGATTAAAATACAGAAAATATCAACCTACAGTTGTTAATACGATTATGCTGAAATATGTATTATTTTCATATGTTATTGTTGTTGTTAGGTGACGTCAAGTCAGTTCCGACTCCTAGCAACCCTATGTACAAACAGAAGGAAACACTGCCACGTCCTGTGCCATCCTCACAATCGTTGCTGTTTGAGCCCATTGTTGCAGCCACTGTGTCAGTCCATCTCATTGAGGGTCTGCCTCTCTTTCGTTGACCCTCTACTTTACCAAGCGTGACGTCCTTCTTCGGGAATGGTCCCTCCTGATAACATGTCCAAAGTACATGAGATGAAGTCTCACCATCCTCACTTCTAAGGAACATTCTGGCTGTACTACTTCCATATATTTATATATACGTGTGTATGTATATGTACATATACATACATACATATATATATATATTTTAAGTACTCACATTTCTTCCATTTCCACTTCCATTTTAAGATAAAAATTTTATTTATACAAGTGATTTTACCTCTCTGACCCTCAGGTTCCTCATATGTGAAATGAAGGAGGGTGTCAGAGGTAATGACCTTAAATGTTCATCATTGTTTTTTATGACCCTTCCCCCAGTTTTGTCTATTGGCCCCTGAAGCCTCTCTGAATAGCAGAAGATCAATTAATTAAGCTAATTATTTTTAAAAGAGCCCTGGTGGTGCAGTGGTTAAGAGCTCAGCTGCTAACCGAGAGGTCGTCGTTTCAAACCCACCAGCCACCCTGCAAGATTAAAATGTGGCAGTCCGCTTCTGTAAAGATTACAGCCTTCGAAACCCTATGTGGCAGTTCTACTCTGTCCTACATGGCTGCTAGGAGTCAAAATCGACTCGATAGCACCTAACAAAGACAATAATTTTTAAGTCTATAAAAAGAAATTAGAATAAGAATTGTAAACAAAACTCTTTAGAAACTCCCCAAGGAGAAAAAGAATACTTCCTCAATCCAGTAAGTGAGGCTCCTGAGGCTGTGCAAAGACATAGCTAGAGGCATTTTACTTTCTCATCCAATAATTTCTTATTTTCTTTTCCACTATTTAGCAGTAAGATTGCAGCTTTTTAAAAAGGGTGTGTGTTAAGATTTTGTGAATAAATATTGTACTCTTTATTTAATACATTCACATTAATTCAAACGGTGACTAATAGAGATATAGATATAGGCTACAAACATTAAACTTATATGAAACATTAAGAAAATATTACATGTGCACAAAACTATAAGTTTCAATAAAGTTCTTACTGTGTTTTTATTCAAAATTTGCAATTCTTCAGTAAAGCATCCTTTCTAGAAAAAAGCAATAAATAATAAAATTCTTAAATATAGAATCATTCATGTAGATCTAAACCACATCATAGTAAAAATCAGGTAATGGTTTTTTAATGCATGAATGAATCTAATAGCTGAAACACAAACATAATGAATGTTCAGAAAAAAATTAAAATTTCAGGTAGAAGTGATGGAAATAAATGTTAATATTTACATTTATGTTTTAGGCAAAAACTTTCCTGCTTTCCTGCTAATTATAGCTCCCCATTTTGGAAGTCTTAGAGAAACTGCCATGTCCACCCTCCTTTTGACGGGTCATTTAAACATAAATCTACACAATCAGCTGACTCCTGACATAACCTCTCTCATCTGTCAGGGACTGTTATGATCTTTTTAATCAAATAAAGCTTTGGTACTCTTAGTCACCATCTCTTGTCATCTCTGCTGTCCTATAAGTTCTCTTACCTAACCTAACATCTCATTGTTCCCTTTCTTCCCAACATTTTCCACTACAGTTCATGGAATCCCAATTCCATGGTTAACAAGCTACCTTACATCTTTTTTGTAATCTTTAATGGTTTTATTGAGATATAATTCATATACCATTCAATTCACCCATTTAAAGTGTACAATTCGTGGTTTTAAGTATACTCAGAGATACGTGAAACAATCAGAACAGTGAATTGTAGAGCGTTTCCATGGCCTTAAGAAGAGATCCAGTATCAGTTAGCTGTTGCCCCATTGTCCCCACATTCCACCTCCCCAGCTCTAAACAACGACTAATCTGCTTTATCTCTACATAGATTTCCCTATACTGGATTTTTATATGAATAAAATTATATAATATATGGTATTTGGTGACTGGTTTCTTTTACTTAGCATAATGTTTTCAAGGTTCATTCACGCTGTAGCGTGTATCAGTACTTCATTCCTTTTTATGGCTGAGTAATATTCCATTGTACAGATATACCATATTTTGTTTATCAGCTCGTCTGTTGATGCACATTTGGGTTGTCTCAACCTTTCAGCTACTAAGAATAATGTGGCTACTATGAATAATCCTGTTATAACCATTCATGTACAAGTTTTTGTGTGGACATGTGTTTTCATTTCTCTTGAGTATATAGCTAGGAATAGAATTTCTGGGTTATATGGTAACTCTGTGAGAGGCATGGAGCCCTGGTGGCACAGTGGTTAAGGTCTCAGCTGCCAACCAAAAGGTTGGCAGTTTGAATCCACCAGCTGCTCCTTGGAAACTCTATGGGGCAGTTCTGCTCTGTCCTATAGGGTCACTGTGAGTCAGAATCAACTTGATGCCAGTGGGTTTGGTTTGGTTTTGGTATAAGAGGCATTGGTGGTTCAGTGTTAGAATTCTCACCTCTCACCTGGGTTCAATTCCCGGCCAATGCATCTCACACGCAGTCACCACTGGTCTGTCAGTAGGCGCTTGCATTTTGCTATGATGCTGAACAGGTTTCAGTGGAGGTTCCAGACTAAGATGGTCTAAGAAGAAAGGCTTGGCAATCTACTTCCGAAAATCAGTCAATGGAAACCCTATGAATCACAACTGAACATTGTCCAATCTACAACTGATCATGGGGATGTCACAGGACCAGACAGCATTTCTTTCTTTTCTGCATGTGTAACCATGAATCTGGGCTGACTTGACAGTAGCTAACAAGAATGATAACTCTAGGTTTATTCATTTGAAGAACTACAGACTGTTTTCCAAAGCAGCTGCACCATTTTACATTCCTATCAGCAGTGTATAAGGGTTCTGCTTTCTTCATGTCTTCTACAACACTTGTTGTTAACTAAATTTTTTTATTCTAGTCATCCTAGTGGTTGTGAAATGTTATCACATTGTGGTTTTGATTTGCATTCCCTTGATGATTAATGATGTTTAGCATCTTTTCATGTTCTTCTTGGCCAGCCACTTTATATCTTCTTTGGAAAAATGTTTATTAAAATCCTTTTCCCATTTTTTTAATTGGGTTATTTGCCTTTTTATTATTGAGTTATAAGAGTTCTTTATATATTCTAGATATGTCTTTTATAAATCTCTTATATTATGATTTAAATTTTTTTCCCCATTCTGTGGGTTGTCTTTTCACTTTGTTGATGGTGTATTCTGAAGCATAAAGTTTTTAATTTTGAAGAATTCCAATTAATCTGTTTTTTCTTTTGTTGCTCATGTTTTTAGTGTCATATCTAAGACTCCTTTGCCAAATCCAAAGACATGAAGATTTACACTACTGTTTTCTCCTAAGAGTTTTAGAGTTTTTTCCTCTTACATTTAGGTCTTTGAACCATTTTGAATTATTTTTGTACATGGTGTAAGGCAAGGGCCCAACTTAATTCTTTTGCGTGTGGCTATTCTGTTGTTTTAGCGCCATTTGTTGAAAAGACTAGTCTAGTATGGTCTTGGCACCCTTACTTAAAAAAGAAAAAAAGTTGACATTTGGTCCTGACATATCTGACAAGGATCTAATCTCTGAAATATATAGAAAACTCCAATAATTCAACAACAAAACTACAAAAAATCCAATCAAAAAATGGACAAAGGACATGAACAGACGTTTCACCAAAAAGTACATTCAGGTGGCCAACAAATACATGAAAAGATGCTCGTGATCATTAGCCATTAGAGAGATGCAAATCAAAACTACAATGACATACCATCTCACCCCTGAAAAAATGGCAACAGTCAAAAGAATAGAAAACAACAAATGCGGGTAAGGTTCAAGGGAGAGTGTAACTCTTATACACTGCTGGTGGGATTGTAAAATGGTACAACCCCTATGGAAAATGGTATGATGCTTCCTCAAAAAGCTAGAAATATAAATACCTTATGATCCAGCAATCCCACTCCTAGGTATATATGGAAGAGATAGAAAAGCAGTGACACAAATAGACATACACACACCTATTTTCATTGCAGCTTTATTCACAATAAGAAAAAGATGGAAACAACCTAAGTACCCAGCAACGGATGAATGGATAAACAAATTGTAGTACATACATACAGTGGAATACTATGCAACTATAAAGAATAATGAGAAATCCACAAAACATCTTATAACATTAATCTGGAAGGCATTATGCTGAGTGAAATAAGTCAATCACAAAAGGACAAATATTGTATGGTCTCACTATTATAAAAAGTCGAGAATAGATATACACATGGAAAGCAACATTCTTTGATGGTTACCAAGGATAGGAGGAGGAGGGAGGGGGAATCACTTTCTAGACAGTAAACTATTGCCATTGAGTCAACTCCGACTCATAGCAACCCTATAAGACAGAGTGGAACTGCTCCATAGGGTTTCCAAGGAGCGGCTGGGGGATTTGAACTGCCAACCTTTTTGTTAGCAGCCTAGCTCTTAACCACTGTGCCACCAGGGCTCCTTCTAGACAGTAGACACTTGTTATTTTTGGTGATGGGAAAGGAAATACCAAATATGGGTGAAGGCTGCACAACATGATCAAGGTAAATGAAGACACTTAGAAGTGCACAAGAAAGAAGGACAACTTCAGTAAATGTTATAACATATACCAACATCGCGACAACAGTAATAACAACCAAAAATATGTGTGTGGCTACATAGATAGATATGTATGCATATATGTGTATAGGAAGACATATGTGAGTACATGCACATGCATGATAGGTGTATCTGTAGGAATATGTATATACGGGTTAGTGTGTGCTGCATATATATCCATATATATAATAAAGCACATAAGGAGCACAGTTATGGAGACTTCCTAGACATGCCCAAACAACTCATGGGATGGTTTACTGTGTTAAAAGGCTCAGAGCCATAGTCTTGTGGGACAGCTTTGTCAATTGGCATAACATAGTTCATAAAGAAAATTGTCTACACCCTAGTTTGGTGAGTAGCATCTGGGGTCTTAAAAGCTTTTGATAGGCCATCTAAAATACAGCTATTGGTCCCTACTTGTCTGTAACAAAAGAGAATGAAGGAAACCAAAAATTCAAAGGAGAAACTAGTCTATGAGACTAATAGTCCACACAAACCACGGCCTCTTCTAACCTGAGACCAGAAGAACTAGATGGTGCCAGGCTACCACGACTGACCCTTCTGACCAGGGACACAATAGAAGGCCCCAGATAGAATGGGAGAAAAATTTAGAACAAAATTCGAATTCCTAAAGTAAGTCAGATTTACTGGACCAGTAGAGACTAAAGGAACTCCCGAGACTTCTGCCCTAAAATACCCTTTGAACCCGGCACTGAAGCTACTCCTGGAGGTCACCTTTCGGCCAAATAATAGATTGGCTTGTATACTAAACAATATCACCCATGAGTAACGTGCTCCCTTAAACAATCAACTATATGAGACCAGATGGTCAACATTTACCCAAAAGCAAAGATGAGAAGGCAAGGAGGGGAAGGGAAACTAAATCAATGGAAACGGAACAAACAGAATGCAAATAATGAGAATACTGACACATTACAAAAATTGTAACCAATGTTATGGAACAATTTGTATAAAAATTGTTAAATGGGAATCTAATTTGCTATGTAAACTTTCACCTAAAACACAATAAAATATTTTTAAAAAAACAGTTGACTATATATATATATGGGTTAATTTCTGGACTCTCAATTCCAGTCCATTGATCTGTATATCTATCCTTGTGCCACTACCACACTGTCTTGATTATCATTGCTTTGTAGCAAGTTTTGAAATTAGGAAGTGTGAGTCCTCCTACTTTATTCTTCTTTTTTCAGGATTGCTTTGGCTATTCTGGGTCCCTCGCAATTCCACGTAAATTTTAGAATCAGCTTGTCAATATGTAGAAATAAGTCAGCCAGCTAGGATTCTGATACGGATTACACGGAATCTTGTAGATCAGTTTGGGTAGTCCTGTCGTCTTAACAATGTTAAGTCTTCTGATCCATGAACGTAAGATGTTTGTCCATTTATTTACATCTTCTTTAATTACTTTCAACAATTATTTGTCAGTTTCCAGAATATAAATTGTGTGGT